TCAATATCTTATTTTCTCTTCATTTTGTAATGTATTCCTCCAGGGTTTTTTTTCACTGTACACAATTCAAATCCAGTTCTGAAGACAACAATACTAATTTCCTCTACATCTTTTTGATGGTACTTATCACAATCAGGTCTGGAAGTCTGCCGCTTCCCGATGGGATCCTTACAGGGATAAAGAGACACTCAGTCCAATTCTACTCCACACAAGAGGCATGACATACTGGACCTCATGCTGGCCTTTGGCAGAAGTGCAGTCAGCACTTAGACACCTTTTGCACAAGCATACTCTGTTCAAGACAGATTTTGAGCTATGTGATTATCCTAGAAATTGGATGAATCTCCACAGATATATTTTACTTCTTCTCACCTGCATCCAATGACAATTAATTGTGAAGACCTCTCTCTAGGTTTTCATTTGATAAATGAAGATACTTCAACTCTGGGTTTTCTTGGAGCCATCCCAATACTGCTATAAATTTTCTTCAAGGTGGAGTTACATGAGATTCCACAGAACAGTGCCCCACTACCCTGCTCCAGGGCATCATTGATATTGACTAAAGTGGTCCTGAACATTATGCTGAATTCCAGAGTTAGACAGCTGAAAAGTAAAATAGGCAGAACTCATTAGCGCATAAGATTACTCAAGCATTATACTGAGTTTTGTAGGTTGGAAGTCTTGTTTCTCCTCTTCTTTGCACCTGTTTTACACTGATGTCATGGGCATCACCCCAGTTTGCAAGTGTATCTAAGAGAAAAATCTAGTCCAGCATCCAACTTTTTTGGGGAGTTGGAATCTCCATGCACTAGAATCCAAGGAGACTAGCTCATCTGTGACCTGTTCCTAAAAATATTCAAAAGGCAGACTATTTTCATTGCCATCCACAGGAATTCCAACAGGCTGCACTTGAGATATTGAGAATAAAGAATATTGTGCTCCTGCTTTCCTGATATTTACCCCACATTTTTGATTGGAAAAAAGACAAAGGTCATTGAAAAACAAAAAAAAAGACATTATGAACTTATAATGGAAGGAAAACTGACAGGACAACCTTCTTGATTTAAGCTACTGTTGAAGAAGGAAGACATTCAGGGATAGAGCCTGATCCTACTAAGCCAGTAGGAAGACTCCCATTGACTTCAGTGGGCTTTAAATGAGGTCCACAGACAATACCGCTTGAGCTATGTGCCATGGCCAGAAATGACTCCAAATTTCCATAAATCAGTAGAAGTTTATTGATATGCAAACAGAAAGTGCTGCAGGTTTTATCACCATCATCTGTCTTCTCTTTGTTACTAATTTACAGTGAAAGTATATTTTCTAAAATAAGAACACAGACATTCACAGAAAAAATGTATGAAGCATCTAACTTCAATGAATGCAGGGAGAATCAAAGAAACCTCCAGCTGGCTTTCAAAAAAGCTTTAATAGTTCAGTGGCAATGGCATTTATTGTAAACAGTATGTTCAGTTTTTTTAAGTAATGTTTTTGAGAGTCAGGTTTGGCACAAAATGGTAGCACTAGGCTGGATATGAAAGGCAGAAAAACACAGGGAGGACAATAGTTCCAAGCATCTACCATCCTGTCCCAGAGTTTACAGGTGTCAGGTACCACAGCTTGGGGCCATGTCTATTAAAAATGCAATAAAATGGAATTACATGTATAAATATGTGCAGACAGTAAAACATTCTTGGGAGAAATTTGGATCTAAACCTTGAGCAAAACTTCCTGAGTTTGACCTAACCCTAGAAGTCAAGCAGAAGGTAGAGCAGGATAACAAATTAGTGTCACTGTGTCCCAGGGCACTGAAGTACCTGCTCCTAGGGAAAAAAGTTACAGGTGCTGGTTGCCAGGGCAACCGCAGTCGGTCAGCTGACCGGAAGGGGGCAGGGCCTGGCCTATATAAACAGCCTAGGCTGAGGCCAAGCAAGCAGCTCCCCACTAACATTGAAGGGAGAAGGAGCTCTGCGGGAGTAGGCAGCTTGATGGCCTGAACAGCTTCGGTTGAGGACTGGGTGGAGCAAGCCCTGGTAGGGTTTTGACTGATGGGTAGCCAGAGGGCTTAGAGTTTACATTTAGCCAGGTGGCTTAGTTCTTCAGTTGTAGCCGATTGGCTTATGATATTGTTTGTTGTTAGACCGGAGGACCGGGTGAGGCTGTAGGGGTTGGAGGAGGCCTCATTAGGGGTTCTGCAGCGGTGTGGGGACCCCTGTGCCAGAGAGGGCACCGCATCTAGGGGTGCACTGACCCCAGAGCCCCGAGAAGGGGGCACAGTGCATTGGAGGGCCAGGTAAGGCCGAGGCCGCCTGAGCCGTGTAGAAACTGTAGACCCGAGAAGGGGATTTCGGGGCCAGGCATGGCTTTAGCCACCTGAGCCCCAAGTCTGAGGAGCACCAGAGTGGGCACTGACGAGAAGCCCAGAAGGTGTTTGCGTTAAGCCCCAGGGAGGGCTCACGAGGAACAAGGAGCCCCAGGGAGGGCGCATGAGCCTCACCCAGTCCTCTGGTCTAACAACAAACAATATCATAAGCCAATCGGCTACAACTGAAGAACTAAGCCACCTGGCTAAACGTAAACTCTAAGCCCTCTGGCTACTCATCAGTCAAAACCCTACCAGGGCTTGCTCCACCCAGTCCTCAACTGAAGCTGTTCAGGCCATCAAGCTGCCTACTCCTGCAGAGCTCCTTCTCCCTTCAATGTTAGTGGGGAACTGCTTGCTTGGCCTCAGCCTAGGCTGTTTATATAGGCCAGGCCCTGCCCCCTTCCGGTCAGCTGACCGACTGCGGTTGCCCCGGCAACCAGCACCTGTAACTTTTTCCTAGGAGCAGGTACTTCAGTGCCCTGCGACACACCTCCCCCCCTAAAGTTCACAACTCACTAGGAGCAGGGCACGGGAGTGTCCTGAGACACACTGGTTCAAAGTGGTTTAAGTTTTTGGAGGAAACATTCTACTTTGTCCAGGCATCTGCTGTTCTGAACCAGTTAGCCTCTAGGCCATGTCCACACAAGCAGGGGCATGTGTTTACAGCTGAACAAACAGTAGGACTTTGTGCCACAGTGCACACCTCTGCTTGTGTGCTTTGCAGTGGGACACATTGTCCTCAGGGCTGCCTGCTCCCCCCATCTCCATGTTTGTACTGATGAGCAACCACTTTCATGTGCTTTGTGCTTCTTTTTTCAGGGGGGCGGGGTTTGGGGGGCTTGCTACTGGGAAATCCCAATAGCAAATTTTGCCCCAGCACTGCAAATTAGCAGTGCCACAAATGGTTTAATGTACAACAAGTACTGCTGTAGCAGCAAAGTTTGGCACATGGAGCAAATCCCACAGGGGCTGCTCGCCCTCGCCCTGCACAGAGATCCAGGGGGAAACCCCCCCACCCATGCTTGCCCAGGAGTGCACACAGCAGCAGTAGCTACCCTTCTCTGTGCACCCCCGAAATGAGCCATTCGTGGCTCCATCCCACATCCCACACTGGCTGGGCAGTGTCTGTTGGCACCCCTTCGCTTCAGTGCCTGGGACAGTCACCCCACTTGCCCCCCTGTGGCAGGGCACTGTTGGTGCCTGCCACTTTAAGGGCCAGAGCAGGCAGCTGCCAGGTGCTTGGTTGCAGCAGCCATTTTAGAGAGAAGGCTATAAATAGGGAAACAGCAGTTTGCTGCTAGCAGCTGTGAGAAAGACATTAGCTTGTGGAGCTGAGGCTCAGGAACAGCTTGGAGGCCTATGGGCTGGAGCTATGGGGATGGAAGAGGCTCCAGGACTTGGGCATGACCTAAAACTTCACCCTGCCTGGGAAGGGAGGCCTGTTGGGACTGCCAGTGGCACAGCAGCCCCATGAAATGCCAGGCCAGTTGCCTCCCTGGTGAAAGGTGGATTGGGGGCACCTAATAACCTCCAGCCCCCACACAGTCCTAGCTGGAGAATGCCCCAGACCTGGAAAAGTCCTGAGGCTCAGTTGTTCCAGTGGAGTTGTGAGGGTAAAAACAGGTAAGCAGCTTAGACCTGACCCAAGGTACCTGACTGGTCCATGCTGGGGTCAGGACCTCTGGGGTCAAAAGGGCAAGGGGCCCACTGTGAGGGAAGCCCACAGAGCAAAAAGGCTCTTAGTCCCAACTGGCCTGAGATGGGGCCAGGGCCTAAGGGGGAGTGGAAGATCCCAGAGAGGGTACCATAGCTAATAGGTGAAGGGTATGACTGAGTTTAGCTGCCTGAGATGCCATCTGCAAGGCTTGGGGTGCAGTGTATGCATGGAATGAAGCTGCAGAGATCCCCCTAAATATCGGGGTGCAAAATGGGCAGCTTCCTGCCTAATTAACACCGTAATCATGTATCCTCAAGGCATGGCAGGAGAGGAAGGCGGGGGATTAGCCGAGAGACAGGTGGCGGGGCCAACATCAAACTGGCCCTGAGAAGGCCCCCTGTTACACTCTCTCCCTTGCTACAGCACTGGCAACAAATGCAATTTGTGGTACCGCAAAGAGGTTTGCAGCACCAAAAACCATACATGTTTTGTATGGTTTAGGCCCACCTGGATTAGGCCTAAGGTGACATTCTGCCCTACCTTGGCTTGACTTCAGACTAACCAGGCTAGCCACCTCTAAAATCTAAGAGTCAGCAACTTGAGGTATTAGATATCAATTTACACACATTTTTATTTTTTGTGACTTACACCACTAAGACGATAATGAAGAAGAGTGAAAATGAAGATGAAATGAAGATGCATATGAGCATATATTACCTTGCTATTTCACCAATTCACCCTGTCTGCCCTTCCTAAAATAGCTACAATATAATGTTAGTTCAACAGAGATACTGTCTGCAAATTTGGCTCAAGGAGACACTCTGAGCAAACAGTTTTCACAATGCTTTAACTGAGCTGTCAGAAAGGAAGTTTGTTTTATATGTAAGCAGTACCCACATTCCAAACTTCATTAGAGGAAAGCTTGTAGGTTTGTATGCATTTGTATTTATCAGTTCCAGATTAGGAATCTGATGTTAATTTCTCTTTAAAGGGCTCTGTTTTTGGTAGATTAGAAAAGGAATGTGACGTTCTGTCTCTCTTGTTAATGTTGGCTTTACTCCAAGGACCTTCTACATTCTCAAGATGAAGCCCCTGGTGGCTATAACAGTGCTGATAGCAGTGGTGCAAGTTTCTCAGAGTTTCCCCTATTTACACCACAGAGGCTGGTTGAGATTGTTAAGGGAAGGAGATAGTTGTGGAAAATGCAATTTGGAACTTTGCTCTAAGCCTACAAACTGTCCAGCTGGTACTGTATTAGATCAATGTGGCTGCTGTCTGGAATGTGGGAACGTGGAAGGGCAGATATGTGACTTGGACTATGGCAATCATTTCTACGGGCAATGCGGAGAAAATTTGGAGTGCAGGTTGGATGCTGACGAGGCAAAGTTTGGGGAAGTCCCTGAACCACAATGTGTGTGCATATTCCAGGAAAGTATCTGTGGACCTGAAGGGAAGACCTATGAGAACATCTGCCAATTCAGTGAGGTTTACTCTAAGAGAAGAAATATCACCATGAAGCACAAAGGACCATGTGAATCAGGTAAAATACAGAGAGAGAGAGAGAGAGAGAGAGAGAGAGATGGCATAAACTGTTTACCAGTCAGATTTGTAAAGGAAACAAAGATGTTGATTTTTAGATAGATCTAGTAACATTTCAGTGTAGAGACAGCAAATTAATACTCATCATCATAATTATTGTATTTCTTCCTTGGGGTTTAAACAAGTAGTTCCGCAGCTGGTGTTTAATTTTGCACGCTTTAAGCCTGTATGTTATAGTGAATTTCACATTGTACAGTATAGTCAGAAACAATCAACAGCTTAGCTGAGCTCTAGATAAGTGGAGCTGCATATTATACAAGTGGAATCTAAAATTATGTATTATCATTAAGGAGTTCAAATAATAAGGTGAAAAATAACTGAAAGGTTTTCAGAGTATCTGAACACAGACCACAGTCCAATATGGGCAGGCAGGGCCATAGAGACAAGACAGCTTTCGAACTGTTATTTTATAATGATTGATTTGGTATTGGGGATGAAGCAGCAAAGCACAGTGGAGATACGGTCACTGGTAAAGTAAATGAAACAGAGTAGGCTGTAGTTTGTGAAATATTTAAATAAAGCTCCACTCTCCTAATAAAGGGTTTTAAATAATGCAATGTAGTGTTTTTTAAAAGATCTAACTACCTGCTGATTAGAAATCCACCTATTAGAACAAAATCAACCTAAAACAATTTCCTTGAAGGCATTTGCTTCCATCTTGCTTATCCAGAATGATGGACCTCATTTCAGTTTGCTGGGGCTTTAAACTAAATACACTTTACACTACGTTTTATTTGTATGAACAAGAAATAAGCATTCAAAAGCAGCTTCACTGCAGGAGGGAGCAGAAAATGAAGCAGACTAGTTACTTGAGCACTGACAGTTCAACAGCCTGATTTTAATATGATTCATCCTTCAGCAATTAGTATCACCATTTTACATAGCAGATTTTCAAGTGGCTGAATAAGCATTACAGAGAGAAGTCCAAATTGCACACAAATGGCTTTGTAACTAGGCTCAAAGAGAAAGAAAAAGAAACAAAAGTGTGTATATATATACACAGAGAGTTTTAATGTGTGTACAAAGGGTTTTTCCATACAAGGTCTCAATCTGTTTATAGGCCTGCTGTGTATGTGAGATTATGTATTGTGCACATGCAGATCTGCACACATTTCTGTTTAACTACATTATAGTGCTTCCCCCCCCATCAATTACTCTTATAAAGAGTAAAATGCTCATTGGAAGTAGCCTTATTACTTGCAGTGGATTTTGCTCTCTGTTCCCCATGACTTGACTTTCTCCCATGATATTAATTAAATTTTTCACTTGTTATACTAAATGAGAATGGTGAGTACCAAGTACAAGCTGACCTAGATAAAAGCAGGGGTGGCCAACCTGCAGCACGTGTGATGCAAGTGGCACAAGAAGCTTCTATGTGTGGCATGCAGCAAATAAGAGAGGGGACATAGAGCACAATGGCAGGTAGAGCAGTAACCAGAGCAACAGATTGGCCAGGAAAAGGCAGCTGAAATGTCACCCACAGAGGGTGCAGGACTAATTTGTGGCATGCCTCCCAAAAAGGTAGTTCCCACTGATATAGAGCATCCTCAGTATTGCAATTCAACAGACTTGGACAAAAATCTCCCTTAAATATGTATTACCTTGCACAGAGGGGTCTTGTGCAGTGAGGAGAATGAAAGGGAATAAAGCTACACAGGAGAAAATCTGCTAGAAACTGGAAATCCAGCTTATGGAGCAGTTCCTCCTGAAAACCTCATACAGTACAGGAGGAAAACCTCATACAGGGCCAAATTCAGAGATGATAGTGTTGATAACATATACTTTGGTTACTGTTATAGCACTGGGACAAGAGTCTCTGATCTTCCAAGGCTTATGGAGCATTCTGTTGGGCTGTTCCAATGATTGGGTTAGCTACAGAAGTGTTATAAATGTTGGAGTTAGTCACACAAGCTAGGGACAGACATTCAAAAAGCCTGAGCCTGACTTGATTCAATCTTTGCAGGTTAGTTTAACCTGCACAAATTAAACCAGTTTGTAACCACACAGATATCCCCTCTGGACTGAAGAAATGAAGACACATGCCTGCGGTGGCTCATGCTAGAAGCCGGGGGCAGGGAGGGGGAGCACTAGAGCAGCCCTCCCTTCCCTTCCACATGGCTGAGCTGAGGGGGGTGTGGCCAGGCCACAGTAGGACTTTCTGATTAGGGAGCCCCCCTACCCCTCGCTGTTGATAACAGAGCATTAAGTTACAAAGCAGGGAGTGACACAGAGTTGTTACCATTTATCACCCCAGCAAACAAAATAAAGCTTGTCTGATTAGTTCAAGCTCTTCTTAAACAACTTTTTACAAGGAAGGAATGGAGGGACATTACCATCTACCTGTTGATCACCTCCAAATACCCTTAAGACAGCACTGTGCTGTCTGCCTTTGTCCTGTCTTCCACAGCATGGACTGCAGCCAGTATGTGGTATGCTAGCTAATGCTGAGAGGTGTTTGTGTAAGGCAGAGGGGAGGGGGGGAATCCCAGCTTGAGCAGGCAGTGGTGAGGGGAAAGGCAGGGGAGCAGGAGGAAGCTAGGCAGATGCCACTGTACCTGCAGTCTCTTTTGAACTCTGGCCAGGGAGCAGAGGGGAGGGCCAGCCCTGCTGGGCTGGAGCAGAGAGCCAAGCCCCATCCAGAGTTGCAAAGTATCTGAGATGCTGGAGGACACTGGAAAGGTCTGGGATAGGAAGGGTCTGGGACAGACATTGCATAAACTGGTTTGACCCAAATCAGTTAAATCTGATACTACATTCAACCAGATTTATCTCAAACCAATTTCAGCCATTTTGAAACTGGTTTATGTGCACTGAATATCTGTTCTGTTACAGGTTCACACCAGTTTCTTATCACTTAAACTGGTTTATGTGTAATGTCTGTCCCTAGCCACATTGGTGCACTGTTCAGTAGATCATCTCATCCATACACTGTCTGGGTCCCATCATCTCTCCAGCCATCTCCATCCACATTCTTAAATGTGCTTGGTAACTCTAGCTCCCTGGAAGACTGGGAGTTGTTGCCTACTTGCACCTAGTGCAGACACATTTCTACCAGCAGGTTCCCCTTCTACCCTAGGTCCCACTGGCTAGGAAGGGCTCCTATACATGTGCAGGGAGGCTGCTCTAATTCGCTATAATTACAGCGTGTCAGAGCAGATTTGATTAATTGAGTCTGCTGGAGCATGATAATTACTGCACTCCAGCGCCATGTGTATCAATGACCCCGCACTGAAAAACGGTGGAGGGGCACTTTAAACTAAAGCTCATTTGATGAGTTTTAGAGGTGGAGCACTTTGAACCTTTTTTTCAGGACAGGGACACTGATACACATGACGGTCTAGGCACTTTTAATTAGTGTGGCTCTTAGAGCACATCTATAAATGCCCAAAGATTCCAGTTACAAGAATATAAAGTCCAAGCTTGGGGGCAGGAATCATTACAGGAAAAGCAACCAGAGGCCAGATAAAATAGCTTCTCGTCTTTCCACCTCACCCTGACTCTGCATTATGCTGTCTTTTCATAGCATCTGATGAATGGAACTTAGGTTCACAAATCTTGTGCCTTTTAGTTAGTCTATAAAAGGCGCACATATATCCTGCCTTCTGACTGGTTTCACACTAATAGGGCTAACCACCTTTCTTGGCCTTGACAAAGTCCTTATTGACTGAGATTTGGTAGCATTTCTGAAATCATTTCATGTCAGAGCTCTGTGAATAAAAGTTCATACAAACCCTTATAATGTCCCTGGCAACAACAGGAACAACGCTACTTATACAACAGTGTTCACTGTGAGATGACCTGTAGATTTTATCTTCTCCTTGCAATTCTCCAATACACTTTGGGACCAGGACTATGCAGTGCAGCATTTCCTCCTTTGGCCATGCCTTTTTTTCCTTATGTCACATCTGCTCACATCTAATCTCTGCTGCCTTCACACTATGAGCAGGACAGTACAACCACACTCCAATGTATGTAGTTTGCTCTTGTAAGACTCAGGAGACTCGTGCTGATACTTTTACCTTAGAAAAATCCATGCTTTCCGGCTTCTAATATTGATTCTACTCCCACTTCTCTGTTCTTGTTTTTAACCCCTTTTTGCCTCATCTGTAAAATAGGCTTAATACCATATTTTCTTACATACAACACACCTCAGAATATATACAGACCTTGTGGTTTTTTTGAAAGGTCTCTATTTTTTGAAAGGCTCTATCACATACCATACTTTACTGCAATAAAATCAGATGTGATTTTTTTGAAGGAGAGACAGAAGTGAGTTACCAGGAACTTCCTTGCTAAATTGTTATGCCAGGTATAATTTTAAGATGGTCTTAATCGAATGAAAAAAATAGGATTTTAAGGGAAGGATATTTGCCTTACAGTAGAGATCAAAGGGTAAAATCAAGAACTTCTAGCTTTTAAAAGCAGACAGGCCTTTCCCCAAAGCCAGAGCAAAATAAAAGAGTACAAGTTTCATAAAACTTGGCTGGTGCAGTATCCTTTTTCCTTCTCTGGCCTGGTTCATTATAGTTCCAGTGGTAACTTTAACTCAGCAGAACTCTATCTTCTTATATTGACTGTAAAAAGCTTCACTTGTTGTTTGGCAGTAGAATAATACTAAACAGCAATAGTAATATAATACAGCATTCTTCAGCATTGGCTATCTTGCTGATCCAAGCTTTGAAGGTTCCCTGAGCATAGAATCAGTTCTCAAAGGCAATTTCAGGAATACTGACCAATGAGGAACTCAAGCTGGCTAGTTAGGGAAAATTCATTTGGTGGATAGAGATTTTCCATGACCTGACCATTCTGTTCTTCCTAAGTCCCAAATATGTGAGATCGAGTCAATTAATTGGCAAATGGTTAACACATCAAATGGTAGGGAGACAGGTAAAGTCTTCCACTTGGGCCAAGTACAGACATTTGGGGTGTTATGGAGAAGTT